GGAAAGCAGCTGTGAGAGGAGCCCCTGGGCTGCTCCAGGGGCTGGGGGAGGTTTGTCCATCACAGCTAAGCTGCTGTGGGTCCTTTCTGTGTGGACAGCATTCCCTGGAGCCACCACAGCTCTTCCACTTCATGCATCAAATCTCAGGGGGCTTGTGGCACCCAAAGTATCTCAAAACGTCCCAGATTCCTCAGTAGAGGAAAGAGACACGGAGTGAGTCCAGAGATGGCCACAAAAATGATCAGAGGGGTGAAGCACCTCTGCTATGACAAGCTGAAAGAGTTGGGGTTGTTCAGCCTGGAGAAGAGAAGGGTCTAGGGATACCTTCTCGTGGCCCTTCAGTACTTATTGGAGGCTTTTAAGAAAAATGGGGACAGTTTTTAGCAGGGCTTGTTGCGACAGCACAAGCTAAACTTTAAGCTAAAAGAAAGTCAATTCAGACTAGATATAGGGAAGAAATATTTTATGGTGAGGGTGATAAAACACTGGCACAAATTCCCCAGAGAGGTGGTGGATGCCCCATCCCTGGAAGTGTTCAAGGCCAGTTTGGATGGGCCTTGGAACAACCTGATCGTCTAGTGGAAGATATTACTCCCCATGGCAGGGGGTTGGACTAGATGATCTTTCAAGGTCCCTTCCAACCCAAGCCCTCCTGTGATGCTATGAAAACCCATGAGAGGCATCCTGGCCCTGCTGACACTGCTGCTCTGGGAACATTTATTTCCAGCAGCCTCAAAGCCAATGTCTCCTGCCAAGCCCCCCAGACCAGCAGAATTCAGGCTGCCTCCACCTTACCTGCACCCGGGGCAGTGGTGGGGGCGAAGGCAGAGCTGCTGTTCGGTTTCTCCATGGCAGGGGAGGGCAGAACCACTCGACTTCACTGAGGTAGATGAGGAATGAGCACTCTGTGCCATCCACACCAAAAAACGCATAGCAGGGGTCAGAGGTCCACCTGGCCCTCATCCACTGCAAGAGGGCAAAGAAACACTTGTGCTCCAACCAGGAGAGGACATGACAGTCCTGCCAGCTGCTCCTGATGTGGAAAACCTCTCTTCTCCACCTCCTTTCTCTACCTGGGAGCTCGAAATGAAGGGCAGAGTGTGGATAAAGGGCTGCAAACACAGCACCAAGTGCTGATATTCACCCATTCAGTGCCTCCAGGGCATATAGGGCACAGAAGAGTCAGGAGGGTTCACTGGGGGCTCCCTGGGTTTCTAGCACTGGCTCCAGCACCAACATGTACCTTCCCTGAGGGCACAGCCTTTAATCCCCAGGAAATGATACACCACAGGGAGTTCTTCTCTCCAGCTTTGCTGGGGAGTGAGCTGAGCTGCTGATCTCATCGCCCCAGGGGCAGCAGGGCAAGGACACAGATCTGTCGGCAGCCCCTGGGGATGATTTCACACGGAGGAGAATAACCAGAGACCAGAGCAGCGATTTATGATCCCCCACAAAGGCTCTTGCCAGCCTCTTCCTAATTCAACTACAAAAACAAATCTACTCAGAGACAGGTCGCTGCACCCAATATGTAAAGCACAGCAATCACCAGGAGAGGAGATGGGATTACAGCCTTCCACAATTACATTACATTCTGAATTTACTCAAATCGTGGAAGGAAAGGATGTTTAGCATCAAGGGAAGGGGAAAATACAACTCTCCTACATCATTTTCATATACCCTTTGACATCTTTTCAGGGGGACTCAGCCCTGCAGGGAGACTCAGCCCTGAAGAAGCCTGAGCTTGAAGCAGGAGGTTGGGAAAGGGAGGGAAGAGGGAGATGCTTTTAATTAGCTCATGTAAATATGCTCTCTGACAAAGCCATCATGCTCTGGGCCAAGTGCCAGGCTGCATTCAGCTGTAAAGAGCAGGTAGGGTCAGGCAGGACATCCTATTTGAGATGGAGGTCTTGGCCACCTGAATGAGATGCTGCCCTGTACAGTGCTGAGGTCTTGGCCACCTGAATGAGATGCTGCTCTGTACAGTGCAGATGGTTATTCCCCAGACACCAGCAAACGCTCCAGATATTTAGAGCCAATGTGACAGTGCTTCCTCCTCACTGTGCTCCTGGCATTAAACACAGAAACTGCAGGCAGGGAGGGCTGCAGGCAGAGCTTCCCTTACAGAGTTGATTGTGCTGCTGTTCCACACATCTGGCTACTGTGGCCTCAGTGCTTTGTATGACTCCAGCTAAAGGTATAAGCCTTATTATTGGGGGGAAACAGTTACATTGGTGTAGCAAAGGCTCAGAAGCCTTATTATTGGGGGGAAACAGTTATATTTGTGTAGCAAAGGCTCACAGAGGAGGTGGAACACCTTCCTTGTGTCTTCTCCTCATAGCACAGCTGTATTTTGCTTTCCACATATTTGGCTTCTGCTCCTTCCCCTCCAACAGGCCACATCTTTCCCATATTAAAGCAAACAGTTTTATTCGGGAAAGCATCTCCTTCCCACTGCCCTTCCCAGTTTAACCCCCTGGATCACTGCTTTGCTCCCTTCCCTTCCCAGCAGCTTCCACCTCTGGTGGAAGAGACCCTCTCCCAGACAGGGAACCCCAACTCACCTCCACCTTCCCAGCACAGTCAGGGTACTTGGGGTCCCTGGGAACCTCACACTGGTCCCTCCTGCTTTCCATCACTGCAGAGAGACAAATTGGGCATGGGAAAAGTTGGGACATGTCAGGGGAAGAGCTAGAAATGCTGGGAGGAAATGGGATGGGATAGGGCTGGCAACCCCCAAGCACATTCATCAGCACCGCAGCTGGGCCAACAGACAGCCCCATCCCACCGGGTGGAGCACCAAGATGTGAAGCATCTTCCCAAAAATCAGGAAGAAAACAGAGGAAATCCACCCTGATTCATGCTGAAAGCAGGTTCCCCTTTCCCAGATCTCAGCAGGTCTCTTTCCAGCACCTCTCTGCTGCTCTCAGCCAGATCCAGACCCCAGACACCTATCCACACACCCGTAAGCAGGTGCAGGATCTAAGGAAACATTTGACAGCCTTTATACTGCAAACCTGCAATAAAAACTGTCCTGCTGAGCTGTTGAAAGAAGACTCAGCCCCCAGGGTCAGCTCCAGAATAAGGCATAAGGTGGATAAAAAGGTAATGGGATCTTCTCTCCCTATGTAGCTGGGTTCAAAAAAGCCACCACCCTTCCCACCAGCCCCCTTTGCCCATAACTGGAATAGCATGAGGTGGAAGAGGCAATGAAAAGATCTACTAGATGATTCCAGCCTAAACCCCAGGAATCATGCAGACATGTGGAGAAACATCTGGAGAACCCAGCTGCCCTCTCAGCCGTGCCAGAGTGGGATGAGAACGTCTCTCCTGGTGCTGAATACCAGCCCCTGGGAATTTGGATCCAAACCACCACATTTTTCAATCCAGGTGTTTGTGCTGGCATTGGTACTCAACTTTAATTCTGCATTTAGTACTGCAGCCATTGAGATCTGTCACCACTCCTCCCCCTAGC